CCCCAAAACCCCAAAACCCCAAAACCCCAAAACCCCTAAAATATTTTATGGTATTGACAGTTGATAAATATTAGATAAATGTCAACGAAATTAAATCTCAACCGTTTGTGTCCGCCCTCAATCAAGATGAAGCACCAGCAAAGGATCCTCCACCGAGATAGCTCAGAAGATAACTTCATCACTTTCTCTAAGCAAGGGTAATTTGTTACTTATATCTGTAGAAATTCCTCAAAAAGTATTTTTGCCTGTGAGAGTGATATCGAACTACTAAAAATTAGAGAAAGCGTAGCTAACCTGCTTGAGAATATCCCTGAAAGTACGACCTTTAGTCTATACACTCCGAAGGAAGAGGCTCAGAATATATCCCAGATTGAGAATGACTTCAGCCTTTCTCCGCTATCTTTGAGAAAAAGGTATCATCAGAAGAAGTCTCCTTCAGCGCACGTCATTTCAGGGGAAGTTCAAAATAAAATTTTTAATGGGATAAAATAAATCGAATAAAAGACCGATAGATTTTAAGTCGATTGCTGCCAAAGTTTGAAAAGCTTTGGTTTCAAAATAATCATAGGATGATGACCAAGGATGATCTCCGTATGAGTTTACAGGAATAATTATTTTTAGAGAACATGAAAAAGGAGCTAAAATAACCTGACTCTTGACCCTAAAAGGCGGTAAGCTTCTGGAAGGCGCTATTTGACTTTTATGATACCTTGTAAATTGTCTCAAAATTATCTGATTCTGCTAAAATTCTCCTTTGGGGATTTCTTGAGCATATTATCTTTTTATTTTTATTTTAAGAGAGGATGTTACAATATTTTTAGTCTTAAACTAGAGGATATGATCGAAATCATACTCTGAACTCACTTGACAGTCCTGCAACAAGTAAGCGATGGGTGGTATTCGTACTTCAAAAGGAAATATGACCAGACAAGGTAAATTATCGAACTAACTCTGTAGAAATACTTTTGAAAAAGCCATTCAAGATCTTCACAACCAAACTAAAATAAATAAAAATCCTACAAAGAAGAAAAAGAGATTTCTGTAAGTGCTTAATGCAGGACTTGATTCTTTAAGTCTCTTTAAATATTAGAAATTTAAGTCGACAGATAGCAGCTTCTTTCACTCTTAGATATTCTCAATGCATCTTTCATTTCAGAGCAGCTTGTGTACTCAAAGTACTTCTCTTGAAAGACTTTACTACTTATAGATATAATTAAGGAGATAAGTAAGGTAATAGAAGATCATGCAAATATGTGTAAAGTTCAAGTGGTACTACTTCATTTGTATTATTACTAGAACCCAAGTTACTCCACTCGCAGCCAGAAGGAAACAAAAGAGGAATCAACACAGTGCACACTAACAAGCAGGAGAAACAAAAAAATTTGTTGTGAACTGAACCAGATGGCTTATGTAAATTTGGACTTAAAGCACAAGGAATCTCATGAAGAACATAAGTTCAATACAAACCATTGGTCTTCGGTTCTCTATGAGAGCAGAAACCAAATGGAAAGTATCAACCAGGATTCTAGGTTATTAAGCAGTGTAGGAGATCCTCCTCCCTTGATGGTGACAAGAGCTATTGGGCCAAATGGAGATATACAAAGGTAACTTTCAAACTTTTAGGGTTTTAGTTCGAGAGACCATAAAGGAAATAATAATATCGCCAATCTTAGAATGACTTTAGAGGTTGAGAGATTAAACAAGAACTTAGCAATGATGCAACAGTAATGTTTCAACAATTATTCTAGAATGAACGAGCAACTTCAGATGAAGCTTACTTCAAGGGATCAATGTAAGGACAAAGGAGTCCAGTGCATGATCCATCTAAAGAAGAAGTCTGAACAAGTTGGAGGGGATTGTCCTTACGCTCAAGATTCTCCTCCAAAACAATGTAACAATGACATGTACAAATCTATAAGAAGATCAAGGAAAACTCGCAGTGAATTTACAAAATACCGAGATACCAGATCATCATTACTCCGAATGAACCACTCATATGAAAGGATGAACGAGATGAGAAGACTGCATTACTCATCGTTCTTTTCTCCAATGAAAACATCCGAGATTTCGAAGCGGCTGAAGATGCTTCTGCACTCAGTCTAGTGAGTCATGAAATAATATATTTGCATTGCTTTCAATCTGACTCCAAAATTTGGGGTTTTGGGGTTTTGGGGTTTTGGGGTTTTGGGG